TTTTCATATGCTTGCTTGTAAAATCTTACTATCACAGACATCCCTTTACTTTATATGAAACACAAAATTGAACAACTTGTAAATCACGCTTGATTAGAACTTGAGAAAAAAATGAATAGTTAAGTGATTCCAAACTTTCATTACAAAATTTTCATCAATATATATCTCTTCGTCATTTTCATTAACAAATGGTGCTTCTTTTCCTATTTTATTTACTATGTCTTTAAGGGGCCGATTACATGGACCGAGTTGTCCCGGCAAGGTGAGTTGTCTTGGGTATCCGCGTTAGCTTTTTTCAAGTGATTACATGGACCGAGTTGTCCTGGCAGTGTTCGTTCTCTAGGGTACTCGGGCTCCTGGCTCCATAGAGACTTCGAATTTTTTGCAGGAAAATATGGGGAACATTTTGTAAACAATGAATTTTTCACATCACTCCATTCTTGTTTCCTGTCCACTTTTTCAATTTTATTGTTTCATTTACTTATGGGCAGCATACAAGCAATATGTTCACAGAGTTTTTTATAGTTACTATGCCACAAAAAAATCAGTAGCTGAAGAAAAAGCACGATACATAAGAGCTAGGAAACTTAGTCAGAAAAAGCAAACTATATGGACCAAAAAAGGAAGAACTGACTTATGGTGGAAGAATATGTTTGATGGAGTTACCCCAGATGATGAGTGGAAGTGAAGCTTTAGAATGTGGAAAGAGTGAGTTTTTCAATTGTGCGAGGAGTTGCGACCTTACATTTCTAAAGGAATAAACACTCCAAATTATAGGTCACTCTCGTGAAAACAAAACTCGCTATCACTTTATATTACCTGAAAGACACTGGTTCTATTTGGATGACAGCGAATGCCTTTGGTGTTCATCAATGTACAGTTTCTAAAATTGTTTTAGCTGTTTGCAATGCAATTTGTATACATCTTTGTCCAATATATCTGCACCTTCCACAAACGGTAGTGGAAATGAGGAAAAAAGTGGCTGAGTTTGAAACAAGGTTTGGCATGACTCAGGCATTTGGCTGCATTGATGGTACTCACATTCCCATTAAAAGACCTCTGGTTGATTCTCAAGATTACTTCAATTATAAACAGTTTTTCTCCATTAATGTTCAAGCTGTTTGTGATTCAAATAGCTTATTCATGGATGTTGACTGCAGGGGGCTGGCAGCATTCATGATGCGAAAGTATTTTCAAACTCATTCATAAATAATAAACTAAAATTGGGAAGATTACCACAAACCTTCACTCATGTTTTACCTCGTCATGACAAGATACCTAACTACCTCATAGGTGACCCGGCATATCCTTTAACACCCAACTGCATTAAAGAATACCAATCATGCTTAAGCAATGAGGAGGTAGTTTTTAACAACATTCTAAGAGCCGCAAGAAACCCAGTAGAATGTGCATTTGGCCGCCTAAAGGCTAGATGGTCAATTTTGACAAGAAAAATGAATCTGGATGCAGTACCAAAAGTTATTTTAGCTTATTTTGTTCTCCATAATTTTTGTGAGATGCATAATAGAGACATGGATGAGGAGATTGTCCAAAATCAAATAGCTAGGAACATAGATGAAGAAATAGCCCACAAAAACAGCCCAGATCCAGTGTACTCAAGTACCACCAGGGAAGGAGAACTAGTCAGAGACACACTAAATGCAATATGTTAATGCACATTTGCTTTAGTAGTCTTTTTAATATTCTCAAAGCAACAGTTTTTTCTTCAAATACATGTTTATTTCATAAACAAAGAACATTTGTTCCATTCTAACAAGACAATGTAACAAAGAATTACTCAGTAAGAATTCAACATAAAAAATAAAACAAGTACGATGTTTTTAACCAATAAAATGTTAAAAGTCAATATTGATGTTGATGTGGTTGCAAGGGTTCTCCATCGCCTTCTACATGGGGAATATTGAAAGACTGGCCAGACATATCAGGTGGAAATACGTAATTAGAGGTATTAATACCTTGGTGAAACTGCGGCATAAGATTTGTGGACTGCATTCGATCTGATGGGTATGGTGGCCTGATGTGCTGTGACGATTCACATGATTTTTGAATTGAAGAAGCAAGAGCAGTCATTGAAGCACTAATTGCCTTCAAAGACTCTGCAAATAATAAATTGGATTCTTTCAGGGAATTTGATATCTCTTTACGAAATTATTGTTCATCTTTTTATTCTTGCATCAAGATTTTGTCGCGTTGGTAAGCTGATAACTGACGTTCCATGTGCCTACGTTTGTTATCAATCAATGTAGATACCACATTCATTTGCCTCTTATTGCTTCATGCTTTTCCTTCTCACTAAAAGCATTCTTGCATTCTGCTATGGATTCATGATGAGAACTATCAGATATGCGAGAAGATTCTTCAATTTCATCAGACAAAGTTGTATTAAAGTCATTAATTTCCCAACCTTCCTCACCTTCTTTTTCTGCTGATTGTACACCAAATTGCAATGGTTCTGTTGCAGGTGATCCTCCCCATATTTTGACCATTACATCACAAAACTCCATAACCATTTTTCCTGAGCCTGATCTTGCACCTGAGGTAACAGGAGCATTACTGAATTTCTGTCGCAGATGTTTCATTTTTTTGAACTCAAGTATATCCTTGTCGAATTTGGGCTTTGAATTTCTCACATGACCTTGTATAATCCTCCTTATTGTCTTCTTCAGTATATGCAGAAATCTCTGTCGGCCCAAACAATGAACTGTCATATTTGTTGGCCAAAATAATTCTAACTGCTTCATACTGTTTAACTTTGTCTGCATTGAAATCTGAGTTTCTATACTCCATTTGAGACTTGTACTTGAGCAACCCTTCCAGTAAATCCTTAACCATTTCTAACGTCCACTGAAAGCAATTATCTATGTCGATCGTGGCAGATCTTTTAAATTTTTTACTTTTCTTTGCATTATCGTTTATAGAGCTTTCTGCTATTTTGCAAATTTAAACTAAGTGCGCATGCTTCACACAATAGCTTTCAACTCGCTTAACCGGGGCAACTTGGGAAAAAGTGATTACATGAGCAAACGAGACAATTTTCATCCCGGATAACCGAGTTGTCCTGGCTTTCAACAGCCGATATCCCATCAAAGCGAGTTGACTCGTTTCCAATGTAATCACAATTTGGTTTTTAATAGCAATTATTAAAGAGGCCGCAGTATCGGTAAAATTGCCCCACCTCGGCTAACCGGGACAACTCGGTCCATGTAATCGGCCCCTAAAAAACATCAAATTCACAGCAACATTGAAAAATTGGAATTGAATTGTTTCATTGAAAAAAAGTTACAATCACTTTTTTTGAACAAGATGTTTTCATTAGGAGTATTATACCAAAATTTGAAAATTTACTCTATTTATACAAGTCATTTAAATATAAACAAAAGAATTAAAAAAAAACACGAAATGAAGCTACTAATTGCTGCCAACAAAACAACGAATTTGTACAAACTAGATAAGCCAGCATACTACGATCTACTTGAACAAAACATCACAAAATCATACAAGAAATCAAATGCCGACACAATAAAGCCATCCACATCGAAGACAAAAATATCACATCACAACTGGGTATATCTGACAGAGTAGAAGCCACTACCCACAAAAATGCATAACACTCAAAGACCATAAACCAAACTTTATGAATAAACCAACCTGCCGACTTATCAACCCAACAAAATCCAAAATTGGTAAAATTAGCAAGAAAATACTGGACAGAATTAACAGCAACATCATAAAAACAACCTCATTCAACCATTGAAAAAATTTATCATCTGTGATCCAGTGGTTCAAATCTATGAAACACAAAAAAAACCTCACGTTCATATCTGTCGACATCGTAGACTTCTATCCATCCATTAACCAAGACCTACTAAACAAAGCACTGGATTTTGCTACAACCTACGACAACATCACAAACGCCGAAAAAAACATCATTATACACGCTAAGAATTCATTCCTTATACACAACCAACAACCCTGGCAAAAGAAATATAACTCAACATTCGACGTCACAATGGGTAGCTTCGACGGAGCTGAGACATGCGAAGTTGTAGGATGCCACCTTCTTTCTCAACTACAACACATCAAACAGACATGGGACTTTATCGAGACGATGGACTTGCCATTTCAAACACCACACCAAGAGAAACAGAGAACATGAAAAAGGAGATATGCCGCAACTTCAACAACAATGGACTACGCATAACTATCGAAGCAAACAAGAAAATCATCGACTTCCTTGACATCACCTTCAATCTTTAAAATTTTTCATATTGACCTTACACAAAACCCAACACTTCTCTGCAATACGTCCACAGCGAAAGCAACCATCTACCAACCATAACGAAGAACATACCGGCCACCATCAACAAACGTCTATCAACCTTATCATCCGACAAAGCATCATTTGACCTAATAACTGCTCCATACTAAAAAGCACTCGACGAAAACGGATACCGATACACACTAAAATTCGACTCAGACGCTACAACCAAACGGAAAACCAGACTTCTACAAAATCTACTTTGCTTCAACCCTCCATTTAGCAAAAACGTCTTCACGAACATTGGCCACAAATTCCTTTCATTAATCGACACACTTCCCCTTAGACCATAAACTTAGGAAAATATTCATCCGTAACACCATCAAACTCAGCTACAGCTGCATGAGCAATATTGAACAAATAATCAACAATCATAACAAACATATACTGAGAACATCAGACAAAACAAATTAGAAAATGAATCAACAAATATGGCTGAAGGTTTAAAGTCTACTCTATCATCTCTCGATTGGACTATTCTAAACAAAGCTCTTGAAAAAACACCAAGAAAAACTTGCATAAAACTATGCTCACACGCTGAACTAAACTTAAGCCTGGTTTCCATTAAATCGTAGGAGTCGTAAATATCGCGTCGCATACGTCGCTACGACTTCTGCGACTTAATGGAAACTTGATTCAAAGCGATTAAGACGACAATTGCAATAAAGTCGTAAGGATAGGTTTGTGGCGATTTTTGCGATGACGATTGCGACTGTTGATGCAAAATCATTTTAATGGAACGTCCCTGCGATAATTTAAGAGCAACGCAGCATAGCAGAAAGGTGATTGCTAGATAGTATACTTCAAAATAAGATTTCCGCTGGGAGACTGGTGCGAGTTTTGCAATATCTTCGGAAAAAAGAAACGAGAGCATCACGAATAACGAACAAAGATAGAGCGATAAACCCTGGGTAAACCTATTATCAATGAGAATAGTTTAGTGTAGGAGTTTTATTGTGATGAAGTTGTTGGTATTTGATTGAAGCAGTATGCTAGAAATTCATTCTCCTCAAGGTAAGAATCGCAAAAAATATATAAATGTATTGAATAATTATACTATTTTACTCATATAATTGAAGCAAATTATCAAGATATACCATAAAATACATCCAGGAATATTCACTCATTAATATATATGTACATATATATACGACTATGAGATACAAACATATGAGACGGCGAGATATACAAAGATATATGTCGAATTCAGGTAAATCTTTAACAAACGAAATTTTACACGGGTTGAGCCGGTTGACACATCAACAGCCTTATTAGGTAGCAATATTAGTCTACTACAAATTTATTTACATTAAATCAGTTTATGATTAGCATGATATGGCATTTGAGAACAGTACCTATCAGGTTATTAATTAAGACCAGACACTATATTTTTCTCTGATGGCTGATGCAACACTTTGTCTGTTTCCCACCCTGATTATCATCACTGCAACATGTGAAGAGAGAAACATAACCTGTGTATAGCAATATACTTATCCATAATTTTAACCATAATTGTGCAATGTCCCATAATCCAAATGTGCTTTTCTATGGCCTTTCATTATGTCTCATGCATGATTATTTTTATATATATAGTGGTGGATCTAGGAAAATACATTGAAACAGTCCATCAATTGGTTTCATTTAACCTTGAAAAATTCCTAAACAAAGCCATTGTTATAAAGGTACTTGAATTGAAAAATATTGCCCATAACTTATTTTTCCTTACCCTAGATCCACTACTGATTTTATAAAAATGTACATCATGAACAGTCCTTCAGCATTTTATCATTGTTGACCTTTCCAGAATATGACAAGGCTCTTTGTTTACTTCATGTGGGAACATTGTGAGCTGTTTTCTTTCCAGACACTGTTTTAGATGTTGATGCATCTGGCTCTGTTGGAAAATGACTGCTCCAGGATAAATTCCATTAGCAAGAGAAACTGCATTAGCTATGGCAAAAAGACCACAATCTACAAATCCTGCTTGCTTTTGACAGCACCTGAGTTTTACTAGCAGTAGACCTCCTTTTGCTATACTCTTGTATAAGTATACCAATTGCATGGTGAGTGGATGTGTCATCCCAGGATACAGAGAGTCGTAGACTATCACTGATTGTCCATTTGACTGAGATACTAGCCAATGACCTGGAAGATTATGAAGCTGGATTATGTTAGTCATTGAACTGTTTATATTTGGTAAACCTTCCCCACTAAGTTGGTTTGATACTATCAGTGTATCCATTAGGCCACATGCTTCTGGGAATTGGTTTTTAAGAAGAATTTGTGCTGCATTGATGTGTTTGTCGTTCATTAGATCTCCTGAACTAAGTATGTTTTTATCAACCAGAGATAAATTTATATTTGAAACATGTAGCCAAGGCTGTGGTCTTGAAAGATTTTCAAAGCCGTTTATTAGGCGAGCTGAGGTCAATTACATTAGGTCCCGTTGAACACCTCTTCACAGCCTTACCAGAAGGTATTGGTATATGTACTTTATAATTTTTTCATTATTTCTGCACGTCTTCCAACTCGACCAGTGTATGGGTGCTTAGGACGCCCATAGGATCTAATATTAATTGACTTAACTCTTGTTTGCTTCTTTTGACTATTTTTGATTTTGTCATTTTTTTTAGATTCTTGTTTTGGTAGTGAATCTTGAAGAATTATTCCTGCTTCCTGTGGTGCAGAGTTTCGTGCTTCTTCTAGCAATGTATTAAGACCATTGGTAAGAGACAATAGTTGTTGTTTGTCATCTATAAGAAATGTCAAGCTGGATAGTTCTTTCATTAGATTTCTACATTTGAGACGTAGAGCATTTTTACCATATGTCTTTTTCGGTGGAAGAGGAGCAAAATCATCAGCATCATTTGGCACAAGCGATTCATTCTTAATGTGTTGAGGTGAATTCTGCTGCTCTTTTACTAGGAATATTTTCGAGCGAGTTATCTGCTGGAACTATGGTGTTATCTAGATGAAAAGTGGATTTTCTCGATAAAGTGGGCTGAGTCTATCCCATTTCCACTCTGGAAAAGCTCTTATGCAAGCACAGAAGTGTTTGCACAAAAGTTTGTTGTGTCTCCAGTCTACGCAGGTGCAGTTTGGAAGCGTTTGTTCATCACCAAAAAGTACGATATGGTGCTCCTTCCCTGTTGAACTTTTTACTTCAAAGACCCCTGGGGACACCATGTGGACCATGTCTTTGCTAATGTCACTATCCCAACGCTTCATAATATGAGACACCATTCTGGCAGGTCTGTTGTGCAGAAATTTTGGAAGTTCCTCATTATAAGCACGGTAACCTTCGTGACATTTAACATTTAGCTCAGCATATCTAAAATTGTAAAGGAAAACGTCACTCACGAATATTATTACATCTTATTAGAATCCAAAGATGACTAAAGTCTACAGTAAGTGCCGCTGTAGTTAGCCTAATCACACCTTTCAATAATTTGTTAATTAAGCAGTTGTTTTTTCAAAAGAAGGGGCCTGTGTCACACAACAAAAACCCTACGAAATGAATTTTTCCTTCAAAACTGGTATTTTTTCGTTATAAAAACATAGAATCATTATAGTATTGTGAAGTATTAAAAATTTAACTTTTCGAAGGTATTTGGGAGAAACCGATCAACAAGTGCTGTCAGCATATCACTTAAGGAGCACCCTTTATTCCCATGGAGGTACTCATATTTGAATGCCTTATTCTGTCTTTCAATGCCATTGTTCGTGTTCACTGCACAAATGAAATCTCCTGTCCGATACGCTTGACACCATCTCTGTAAGAAAACGATCAATACAGTATATTTTGCATGTTCTGCTAGTACATAGTATTTTATTTGAGATTATGAAATAATACAACGATATAAGCCCTGGAGATTTGGTTTTACAAAATTGCCTAGTAAAATTTTATAATTTTATAAAAGGGTCTCCTTCGAAAATAGCAAAATTAATTTAGACTATTTCATGAATAGTACATCGCTTTTCTATCAACGTTGATTCCATCGCTATATTTAGTTTACTACCTTAATGTTTGGCAGCCACTTTCCACCAAACCAGTTTCTCATTTTGAGATTTTCTTTCCAAAATATGCTTTCTGTCAGGGCGTTCATTGACTTTTGACATTGTTCAGACGTAGCAGCATGTGCAATATTGCGTAGTAGATTTAGAATTTCCTGTTTATTCTGAAAAACACCATTATCTATTTTTGACGTCCACTCCTGCCACGATTTCTCTCGATGAAAATCACAAAGAAGTACTTCCGCATCTATTTTACATGAAAATGTTTTATATGTAATGAAATAACTACTTTTCTCTAACGACACCAACTATGTTTATTTTAGCATTTTTCAATGTTCGATTTTTAACTTTTTGGTCTGCATGCGATTAGAATTATGGCAAAAAATGCGACAATATATTCATACACGTATAAAGTTTATCGGGGGGAATTCCGTAAATGTTTAAAGCGTTATCGTGGAGCTTTAAAACCACGATGCAAATCTGTTGTACGTTTGCATACCTGGAAAGGTTGTTTCGAGTGCTTGAATTTCTTCTTCGGCGAAATCTACCATAAAACGAGAAGGCTTCCATATATCAGCATTCCACTCCTTAAACACCATCAACGCTTCCTGTATACATTTGATGTTTTCGAACTGTATGATAAATGATCCAACAACTTGGTAACATACATTTGTTCTCACACACAAGAAATAAAGTGGGAGATCATACTTCGTTGTTCTATAGGTGGCATCGAGTAAGCACATTTGATTGCCATACTTTCCTAGGAGGTGTTTCTGATATTTCGTTTGATGACAGAAAATTAAAGTGCTTGTGTCCATCTCTAACGATTCCTCTGTATCTTCGTTTGAGATGGTGTTATCATTGTTCTCTGTTGACTCCTCTGCACATGGTTTGCCGGAGTGAGGACAAAACAGAAAGAAATCTTGTGGATTTTCAAACTTCCATTTTTTAATAAGCTCTTCCAAGTTCTTTTGATCATTGGAAGAAAAATGGTTCGGCTTTCCTTTGTAAAGATGGTTATAGATATCCTTGTTCGTAGGATAAAATCGCCTGCTAAGTTTATCTGGAAGTTTACACCCCTTGAATAGTTCACCATTTACAAATAACTCAAGATATCTACGTGCTTCGCATACTGAGTGAACACCGTCGCGGGCCAGCTCTGCTAGCTTCTCCACTATCACTGGATCCAATGGTTCTCTTATACCAGCTGCCTGCAAGGTGTAAAACTTTTACAAAAATTTTTAGCTATAGCTAATCTCTTTTTAAACAAATTTTACCATTCCAGTTATGTGATTTTTGTGTTCTGAAGGGCGAGGAAACTTCACGACATAGTGCATCTCGATGTCGCTGCTCTTAATTGTGCCAGTTTTCATTGTCTCATGTAATTGCTTTGCTGTTCTTCTTCTGAAGAAGATACTGTCCTTGTCCAACTAAAGAGTAAAACATTGTAATGTCCTTTTACGCACAAGTTTTTATAATTATATATTATTTTGTCTTCATTTTATAGTGTTTAACAAACCTTCATTCTAGGGAATTTTGCAATTTGCGTTATATAGATTAAAGCTGGGCATTGTTTCTTCTTTGTCGTTTGAGCAAACAATCTTCGCGTAGAATTGTAGCAGTGGTCTGTAACCTAAAAATGTATAAATTTAACATTCTTTATAAATACAAGGAAGACGTAAAATATTGTATAGTTGGCTGCATTTTATTAGCGCAGATTATACATTGTGCAGGAATACACAAGGTGAAAAAGGCAACGAGATGTCTTAGCAACATTTTAGAGGACGCAAACTATCATTCTTATTACAGTAATCTAGTCATTGACTACCTGTCGCTGCTGATTTTCTCTTTCTTCTTTAGCTTAGATTTTTCATTTTGTCTTTTCCTTGGTGGCACCATAAAATTTTATCTCCGACATGCACAAAAGGTATTCCGTCAAATGGGATAATAGGCCCTTGTAACGCTTCATTCTTCCTTTCCCAGTAAACTTTTACGTTGTCTTTTCTAACATCTGAATATGTTAATGATTAAAATTTTACAACCGGGGACGTCTTATATCAATGTAAATTTTTGGTTGTGCTGTTTTTAAAAAGCGTAATATTACGATTAAATTAAGCGCAAGAAGAAACGATTACCAGAGCGTTGTGTCTCTTTATTTATAGTAGTAAAGTGCACCTAATTTATTAGTATGCTATTTACTACTTTTTTATGCAATTAATTTTGTACATTTCAGCTTTTTCAACTGCCACTCAAATTAATTTTTATTAAATTGACGATGTATTAAACTGTTGAGCTAATTACCTTTTGATCCAAAGCTCTTATCACCGTAGTAGACAATGAACTTGCTGTTTGTCTCAACTTCGTATTTCACGATAAGCTGCATTACATCAGACAGGCTTTGCACGGCAGCCCTGTGGCCGTCACAGCAGTCCCAAATTTTATTCATTGACATTAATTCGTTGAAAAATTTACATTACAAAGATAGTAAATTTTCATAAGTTTATAATGACGAACTATAGCCTATATGCGTGGTGTTCATTAATTGTTTTCCCGCAAAATTTTAAAAATGGCGCATTGCATTATAACAAAAAAGGACATCCTTCAAAAGAACACGGTATACTCGTGATGCTCTCGTTTCTTTTTTCCGAAGATATTGCAAAACTCGCACCAGTCTCCCAGCGGAAATCTTATTTTGAAGTATACTATCTAGCAATCACCATAATAGCAGAAACCATAGCGCGCCGCTTTTCAGGTAGAGTTCAGGCTACGCCGGCACCCGCGACCCACCCGCATCTATAAAAACAAAATGGCGGCCATTACAAACGAAGATTTTAAGGAAATTGTAAGACAGTATCCAGTTTTGTATGATCGCTTTTCAAAAGATTTTAAAGATAAATTCAAGAAAGAAAACGCTTGGAGTAAAGTGGCGGAAACTGCTGGATTGTCTGTTGAAGATTGCATTAAGAAGTACAAAAATATACGGACTAATTACGTTCGTAATTGGAAGAAAAGAAAACCGTCAGGCTCAGGAAGAGAATCTGATAACAGCGAAAATTCCCAAAAATGTTACCAATGGCTGGATACGTTCATTGAGCATCGGAAAACATTCACTAATCTACCCTCATCTTTCCATTCAGTGGGCACAACATCCGATGCAGAATCTAGTGTCAGCGAATTTCACCACTTGGAAAATGATTCATCCATATTACAGGATGATATGGAAGAAGGCGAGGAAGACATTGATTCTTTTGAAAATGTGTCAAACATAACAGTTTCATCCTCTCCAGAGATCGCCCTTTCTTCAATGAAAAATAAACAAAATTGTACAAAACGAAACACAAGCGATATGAGAAATGAGCAAAACAACAGACCATTGGCAAAGGGTTCCAAAAAGGTGAAAAACTGCGACATTGACGATGCATTCTTGAAAACAATCAATAATTTTGAAAAGTCATTCAGCTCAAAATTAGCTGATAAATCCCAAGATGATGAGGGTTTACTGTTTTGTAAAAGTTTAGTTTCTCAAATCAGAAAGCTGCCACCTGAAACAAAAGGATTGGCCAAGTGTCAAATTTTGCGGTTGCTCCAAGGTTTTGAATTTGGCACACCACTAACAACCCCAGCAGCTACAACTTCTTTCTGAATTTGGTGCACCCTTAAGTTTCCATACCTTTAATCAGGCAGTATCTAGGGAATTTCCCACCTACAAATAGTTGTAGTGCTTTAAATAGTACGTGTCGCTTTGAATTTTTATTGTGCCTGTACTGGCATACTTTCTCAAGAAATGCAAATGAGATTTAGAAAAAGTAAAACTCTTTTTTATTGGTTTAGTTCATATTGGATGATTCTCTAGCAATTTTATGGCAGAGTAAACATGTACATAACTTTACAATGAACCTGATTGTTTTTTTATAACGTATATAATAATAACAATAAATCTTCAATTGAGTTTGGCTTACAATGAGTTAATACATTTTGTTTCAAGAATAAAAATTTTTGTTAGTTTGAGGAGATATTCGTTTACCGTTTATACCATAAAAATTACTATCTAGTTCTAGAAATTGCAAAAAATACAAAAATATATGCACTTAGAAGAAGACAATTGGTCGTTAAGGTTCTTGAACTGGCAGCAATGGTCCCAAGTTTGTAACATGAGCCAATTGCCATGGAACCTGTCCTTCTTCACTGTTGAAATAGGAACAATATGTATTTCGTACATACGTAGACTCGTAAGAGCATCTGTTTCTGGCCATTCGTGGAAGCTGGTTCAAGCCACCGCTTCCCCCATCAACAATTGATTGCCAGTCACCTTTAACAATGTCACCTGATGTGTTGTTAGAATCCACAAATCCTTGTGGAGTGTAGAATGAATTATCTGTCATAATCAGATAATTATGTAGGCATAGAGTTGCTTTAACAATGTTAATTATTCCCTTTAATCCACCCCTTAAAGGCCGTCTGTATACCCTCCATCTGGCAGCTAAAATGCCAAAGGCATTTTCAATGGTGCGACGACATCTGGGTAGTCTGTAGTTAAACACTCGCTGTTCTATTGTTAAGGAGCTGCCTGGATATGGTTTGATTAACCAAGGTTTCAGAGGGAATATATTATCACCCACTATTACATAAGGAAGAGTGAATGTTCCTCTTAAAGTAGGACTTGGTATAGCCATTCGTCCATGGGTAAATGCCTGCCCAAATTGAGATTCTTCAAATATAGCAGCATCATTATTTCTACCATATCCACCAACATCGACCATTGTAAATGTATACTTAGCATCACACATTGCCATAATGACAATGCTAAAGAAGTTTTTGTAATTGAAAAAGGCAGACCCACTTCTTTTGGGACATTCAATAGCCACATGTTTTCCGTCTAGAGCACCAAGACAGTTTGGGAAATTCCATTCATTTTCAAAAACTTTTGCTATCCTCAAAAAATCATTTTCTGATATGGGACATTTCAAATAAATATTGCTCAATGCAACCCAAATAGCATGTGTTGTTTCTATAATTGCATTGCTCACAGTAGTTTTACCAAGTCTAAATGCAAATGTTTGACTTTGTTGTGAATCTCCACTGGCCAAAAATCTCAATGTTAGGATAAGTCTCTCTTGAGGAGAAATAGGTGTTCTGCTATTGCATGGTTTTTTTTGTGATAAGAGGTGCCACTATTGAGAGCAAGTGTTCAAATCGCTCAGGTGACATCCTCAAATATCTTAAAAGATAAAAATATATACATCAAGGTTTCCAGCACGCAAATTTGGTCCTGCAATGCAAATATTTTTTGTGCAGACTTTTTAAGCAATGAAAACTTACAATGCTCAGAAATTCACGTTACAGGACCGTTGTGGGGATGGCTATGTAACTGAATGCCATTATATTTCCCTTCAAATTTAATTAAGGAAAATTTTCAGTTTATGAAAATTAACTTGGTTTCACCTGTAAAACTATTAAGTTGCGTACCTGAAATAAAATTCTCTGTCTCCTAATTTTAGCTCTTGAACTAGATTAAAATAGTCACTATAGCGCCGTCGTTTAGTCTCAGTAAAAATACTGCGAACCCAGAATCTGTGCTTTCGTTTTCTTGCTTTTGTATATAATCTCCACAGGCCGAGTAAGGTCAGAAAGCAGCCAAAGTGAAATAATACAAGCGCCTCGTCAACAATCTTTGACTCCATTTTGAATTTGTCACACACGAGTGGACGCGACTCAACACGCGACTGCGATTTAATGGAAACGTGTCAATAGCAAAGTTGTGACGACATTCGCACTCCGATCCTTGCAACCATTACGACTCTTACGATTTAATGGAAACCAGGCTTTAGTTATGTAATGAAGAACAAGGCTCTACCTTTCATGCACAACGTGCAGTCAGTTTCACACCACTTTCTTACAAGACTAGATTAATACACACTTATAGACAGAGCATACAAAATTATCAACACCGACAATGGCTTTCAACAAGACCTAAAGAACATCACATCTATTTTACTAAGCAACTCTTTCCCACTACACTTAATCAACAAAAGTGTCAAACGATATTTCCATGACAAAACTAATACTAACTGCAAAGCAAACACCAAAACATCCGATATAACAATCACGACCAACAACAACGAACAGTCCATAGAAACTCTTTACTTTAAACTACTGTACATCGGACATCATTCACGACACAAACAACGCAGACTTACAAACATCATCAAACTCTTCTGCACTGACATTTAAATCTGACTAATTTTCACTTCCTTTGAAATCAAAAACTACTTCTCATTCAAAGATCCTATCCCTGATTCTATTAAATCTATGGTGGTATACCAATTCGATTGTGCGGGGGTAATTCCCGATACATTGGTGAAACTTCCCATCACTTATCCACTAGAATCAGGGAACACACCCCATAACTGACAAAAACTCGCATATCTATCGACACCATTTAAAATCACTTTCATGCAAAACTAACTATTCACCATCTTGCTTAAAATCATCGACACTGCAGAGTTATTATCAAGTTTAATATCATAAAATGATGGGACCAGTTAGTTGTCTTGGCATATTTACAGGAGGCATTTTCACGTATTTACATAGAACCAAACAAAGTGAGTCATTATTTTGCGAAGTATCAACGTTCATTCTAAATAATAAAAAGTTTATATAGTGTTAATATGACGATTGTATGTTTATATCTCTATATGTATAGTTTCTTCCTTAAATGTTTATTCTTCGTCTTGGAGTTCATCATCGCATCCGAGGTGTAGCCGATGGATATTGTGTGAGCCTTGGATGGCATCCGTGCAGCATAGCTTCTTGAAGAGGGTTTTATATTTTCGTGACATTCCTAAGCTTGTAAGGACGATTTCGTTGGATTTGTACCATGAGCCCAGAGCGCCGACAGCGAAGGGTAGGATTTCGCATTTCTTCCCCGTTGATTCGATATAATGTTTCAATGGGAGATATTTGTTGATCTTGGCATGGGCAGCTGTTAATAATGCATCTTCATCGTTGTCGAAGGGGCACATTACATCGATAACAAACACGCACTGGTCTTCCTCAACAACGATATCTGGGCGTAGATTGAGATTCGAACCCTTGATCGTCCTGTCTGTTGTGATCTTTCCAAAGCGTACTGCGTTTGTCAGTCGATTGACTATGGCGTTGTGACGTGATCTGATTTGCATCATATGGGGTCTACAGTGACAAACTACGTGCGGAAGGGTCTTAGGCTGTGTACAGAGTCGGCAAGTGGGGTCTACGTTCGAGTATCTTGCTTTGTTTGCATTCAAAGAGAGTAGGTTTAGACGAGCTCGGTGGATGAACCTCCAATTTTTGAAGCGTAAGTTAAGGCCTGTGCAATGCCAAGCTGAGCCATTACCATATTGGTCTTCTGCGAGACAACGTGCCACTTTGCCCTGGTCATTGGCATTTAATAGTTCTTTTGACCAGCGATCCAGAGCAAGTTGGTGTAAGAAGTATGTTGCTTTTTCAGATTGGATGGGTAGGGACTCAGCTGAGATTGTGGGGGCTTCTTTATCTGAGTACATAAAAGTTATAGATAGTCGTCGGCATGTATGGCGTACTTTGGACCATAAGGAGGAGTATGTATAATAAAGTTTCTTTGTGCGGGGCTCTTTGGTGCTCGACAGATATGTGGTTATGAGGTCCGCAGTGGGTTGACCTTCTGATGATGTACTTCAATTCGTATCTAGCCCTAATTAGGACCATTGGAAATTTGTGGATCGATACTTTAAAGGCATTTAAGAAGTAACGAGGCCGTCTTTGGTGACCTGCTTTTGCATGAGGATAGTGCTACTGACACACAATTACATACCTCTTGGGGACGGCTATATCTCTAAAAGGGGCGGAGTTATTTAATAATACAAAAAAAAATCAACAAATTTCCACTTTTCTGAAAAGGCCACGCCCTTTTCACCGCGTGAGCTGAAATTTCGTGGGTGCACTCCCCTGCCTCCCCCGACCTTCCAGTGCAAAACCCTGTCGATGGTCCTACCTCTCGATTTGGTTTTCGGCAAAGTCTAGGTAGTGTCAAGTAGTTCACTCATTGATACATCTTCTTCATACGAAGACCAAATTTTGAAAAAGTTAACTTAAAATATCTCAGAAAAGAAAAAAGCTATTGTTCCCTAAGTAAAATGCGATGCTTAGAATGAATCTGTGCTTTTTTTAAAAAAAAAATTCGATCTTTATGCTGAAATCTGAACAAATTGAATTATTATGGAATTTTGTTGATTTTTGGAAATTTGTTGATCTGTGGAAATTTGTTGATTTTTTTATGGAAACTTGTTGATTTTTTTAAAATGAGTTAGGACCATCGTGGAAATTTGTGGATTTTTAAAAATTGTTTTATCTAAGGAATTTTTAATATTGGAAGCACCAAACACTGCATGAGTGTTCTAATAACAAATTATTCTTGTGCTATGTTGTTTGATTCATTTTTTAGACAAAAAAACTGGCTGATTTACTTTTTCTTAATTGTCGTTTTACCCTTAAGAGATATGAAAATTTGTCCTTAGCTACCAATGATTGGCATTTCATAAGCTATCTAACTGTGTGTTTTTTTTTTCAAATTTGGGAAAATCTCAATAAACTACCTCCAAGACAAAAAATGTGGAATATTGTTGATTATTTGGAAATTTGTTGATTTTTTACTTTTTTTGATGGAAATTTGTGGATTGAAGGGAAATTGTCTTTAAATCTTATTCAGTTTTTACAAAAATGGCCATGTGAGTGTGTCTATGGTGTGTGAACTACCATACAGACTTTCAGGAGTATCTGTCATATTGATTCTATTTTTTTGTAAAATATCATTTTTAACGGTGGTTCTCCCCTCTGGATTCTTTTAAAAGTCATCAAAATTACATGGTTATATTTTCCATCTAATAATCTTACAACATATATCATTTTAAAATGTTTAAGAAAATATGAAATTGATTTTTTCCAAAAATATAAAATTTTAAATGGTCGATATCCCCCCTGGATTTTTTTAACAGTAACCGAAGTTTCATAGTATATTTGGCATGTAGTGTTCTTACATATGGCTTTAAGATGTTTAAGAAAATATTAAAATATATCTTTAAAACAAGTTTCTTCTAATAATTCTGTAAAAGCTGTATCTACCCCCCCTGGATTTCTTCAACAGTCACCGAAGTTTAATGGTATATTTGGCATACAGTGTTCTTACATATGGCTTTAACATGTTTAAGAAAATATTAAACTATATCTATAAAACAAGTTTATTCTAATAAACGCCTGTTTTATAAGTTTTACTTCCTTTTTCACCTGGCAGCCATATTGGAAACACCATGTTTTGAGAGAGGAGTGTTTTTGGTTCGTTTGGGGGAATCTGAAGCTTTTTCGTTAGCTTTTTCTAATAATTAGCAACATAAGGTATGTAAGAACCTGCTTGATACGAAAATTTAAAGTTTTCATTTAAAAGAGGGTAAACTTTGACAATATCATTTCACTCCATGTTTTTATTTTTTCATCTTTGTATTTCAACTTCCATTTGAAAATTAAAACTTCATCTTAAGCATGTAACGTGCTTCTTATGCTTGCAACTGCTTTTTATTTGGTTTTTGAACTTTGTCAATCTAGTTTGCAGTGTTTTTTTTTTGTCATCATTACTACAGATGATATATTGTTAAACTTGTTGTTAAGTGTATACCCTTCCGAGTCCATAACTCATTTGTTTAATCGTTTTAAGAAAAGAACACCATGCTATCTTCTTTATCATTACCAAATCTAGGCAAATGCCTTTGAGCGTCTCGAGCCGCCATGAAATCCAGGGGGGGAAAATTGACTTTCTTCATTTTTTCCAATTATTTAAAAGTGATACTTATTTACTTAAACGTTTTAAAGCCATATGTAAGAACATTCAATGGCCAATCTAACCATTTAACTTTGGTGACTGTTAAAAAAATCCAGGGGGGGAGATACAGCTTTAAAATTTGAAATTTTTGTAAAATGTCAATTTCCTATTTTCTTTAATGTTTTAAAGGTATATGTAAGGACATTCAATGGCCAATGTAACCATTTAATTTTGGTGACAGTGGAAATAATCCGGGGGGAGATAAATCTTTAAATTTTTTTAGCAAAATTACAAAAAAATCCATTTTTCATCTTTATTACTTAGGAAGATGTCAGCAAAAAAAGTCAATGTAGAACTTGTCTTTAATGAGATTGCTGAAGATTTGGACATGATACGACAGGGTGAAGGTGATTGTGAAAGATACAGACTTTTTTATAAGTCTTCCTGTGACCGAGATGACTTAAACTTTAATGTCCCAATGGGTTTTTTTACAACGAATGAACATGAGGAGACATTGCAGTTAATTCTTGAAAGATACAACATTACCAAAGCCAGTAATCTATTTGACTTTGCATCTTCGGTGCTTCTACCTGAAGCACTCATTAGAATTTATGGAACTGCCAACAATTTCAATTACAAAAAGGCCGAAGCAAATTTGTTTATAGAAAAAAGTGGCGAGTCATCAACATCGTCAAAAGAGGAGGGCGAGATTATTCAAACATCATCGAATGAAGAAAAAGAAGAGGGTGAACTGTCATCAAGTAGTAGCGAAGAGGTAGTTTTGTAACTAAAAAGAACAAAGCTTTACTATCTATGCTTTTTTTATATGAAATATGTTTTATTTCATTTTTAGGAGATTTGTGACAGTCCAACAAGAACAAGGCACAAAATGAAAAATATTGCTTTTCATTTTGAGGAATTTTTATCTATTCAATTTTACATTGTATGAATAAATTTAACAAACCTTTTTCCAAAAGGAAAGTGACAATGAGCCTCCCGAAAAAAGAAGAAAAGAACTGGAATGTGAAACTGAGGAAGAAATTGACGAAATGCCTGGGGATGACGTGTCTTCAAATGGAGAAGAGAAGGTGCTATTTTCGGTGTCTTTCCCTGATTTTGTATTTTTAGTTGTTACACATTTATATTTGAAGGAAATAGAAACACTTTCTGAAAGTATTATTCTGACAAGAAGAACAAAAAGGTAAAAAACTTTTTTAGATGCTTTCATTTGAAGTTTTGTCAATTTAATATTTTAATTATTCAGTGGCAAAGACGATACAAGCGATGCCCTCAGTGCAAAGGACAATTCAAGTATTTATCATCTCATTTAAAAAAATACCACAAAATGTCCAAGCGTCGTGCACAAACGTTGGCCTCAAAGCACAGAGCTTTAAAAGATAATCCAAAATCTGCAAGACAACGAAAAACTAAATGTCCTGTTATAAACTGTGAAAAAACTCTAATTAGACTTGACAAACACCTAATTAATTTTCATCGCTTTCAAAGGGAAAGTGAAGAATATATTCGGTATGACAAAAAATTCTTGTTAAATGAGCATTCTCTATCTAACCAGTGGTGATGTCATTACGTATTCCACTATTTTGTAGTTACAACAGAGAAGCCATTGCTGCAAGAAAATATAAAAAAGATGAGTTGAAAATGAAGAAAACAATGGCAAAACGACGGAAAGAAAGAAGCAACTACGTAAATTACTCACAGTTTGTACCTCATGAAGAAGAACAACATAACACAACAGAGGATGATGATGTCGAACAAGCAGTCCAAAACATGTCCCAAAGACCAAGGAAACCGAAAGATGAGCTTTCATCGGAAAGAATAAAAGAATAGAAAAACTGCCTCTTATCAAAATGTTTTACCAATACTTGATATCATTTGAAGGAAAGTTCAGAAAACCAAGGGATGCATCAGATCATTCTCGCCGATTTGTCGCTTGTTTTACGAGCTACAAGATGAACAAATGACGATCCATCTTGTGGCAAGATGAAAGCTTAGATCAGCTAAGAAATTCATTCTTCCTTGGAAACGATCTCTTACAAAAGCCAAGGGCTCCAAACACGCTAAAAACATATGTTGTCTCTCTGAAGTTATGGTTGAAGTTTATGCTTGCCAGAAAAGTGATGATAAACAACATTTTCCCTCAGTTAAATTCAGAGCAATTTGAATTAATTCAAAGTGCAATAAAAGATTGAATGTTGGCCATCTTCATTCAGAACGGCTAGTCAACAACGCAAAATGAAAATAGAAAAAGCAGAAAAACAACGGCTGAGGTCAAAGGACTTTGAGAGTTGACCAACACTTCAATATTGAAAGAAGTGAAAGGAATTTGTGCTAGAGCACAAAACCTAACTACTACATTGAAGTGAATGAATTTTGCACAGTCCGAGATTATCTCATGTTAATGCTTGTCCTTGGAAGTGCCCAACGATCCGGGGCACTTGCAAACTTAACTGTGGATGAGTTTGAAAAAGGGGAATGGATAGAGCACACTTATGTAACAAAAACACTGGTACACAAGACACAATCGTTAGGTCCCGCAAAGCTATATTGGGACAATACCCTAAAATGCATAGCAGATGCCTACTTAAATAACATGAGGCAAATTTTTGCTACATTGTCTTCTCATCATCGTCCTGAGCCTGGCAGAAGCAATAGTAGAGGTGCATTTTTCATTGCCATTTCTGGAAAAGCTCTGGATGAGAGCCAAGTTAGTAGAAGGCTGATAGAGTTCGGAAAAAAGTTGAACATAGACTTACCTGGAACGCTGAAAAGTAGTAACTTACGCTAATCTATAATATCATTGCAAAGAGAGCAGCACTCCACCATAACAAAAGATCAGTTGGCAAGACAAATGACGCATGATGTGAGGACTGCTGAGAAATATTACAATGTGTGCAACACCGACCGAGAAGATGTGAACATATCTAAAGCCATTTCAAAATTGACCACTAACTTAAAGGAAATTGCTGATCATGAAAGCAAAGATGAAGAGTCAGAAGAAATAAATGCAGAAAAAATACGTCAAGAAGCCTTGCAAGTACAGGAAGAACAAGTTTCAAAAGATGAAGAAGAGTGTGAATCATCACAAGTCCAGTATTCGACATGTAAAATGAAAGCCTTAACACCTGCTGAAAAAGCTGAGACTTGGGTTGAAAGCCACTTTGAAAGAATTTCTCCAAAAATTGTGCCTTTGGAGGCAAGAGTAGTTATTGCAAAGAGAAACTTGTTTTTATCATCAGGACGTAAACCTTTGGAGGCAAGAGTAGTTATTGCAAAGAGAAACAAGATTTTGTCATCAGGACGTAAACCGACGTACATTCAAACGGATCAAGGCTCGGAGTTTAAATAAACGACTTTTGATGTTGTATTTACTTAAGAGGAGGCTCAATCGAAGAGATAAGTATAAGAAAAGTGTCTGGGTGCGAAAACTATACAGAGAAGTGATATTAAAGGAGAAATGAATCGACTAATCAAAGATCTTTGGTTATATGATCAAGTTTTATTTTTTACATATTTCCGAATGACACCAAAACAATTCGAGGAACTGCTTCAATGGATTGGTCCCTAATTTCTAATTAGCAGCAATTTTAAAAAACACTTGAGAAAAACGACGATTTTTTTTTAAAGCAAACATGTTTCGGCATTATCAGAATGCCATCTTCAGTGCAGAATGGTTAGTGTTAAGTAATATGATACGTAATATGATATGAATAAATTAATTACAATGAATAGGAATATGATTAAGTTACAAAATTATAAAATATTTACAAAAAAGGAAAAGAAAAATAAGTATTAAGAACTTATAACAAAAAATATTATTATAAAGTAAATATAGTGTTGTAGTGGTGAACTTGGATATTTAAATCGGGATTAGTTTTATTAATGTGTAGAGCTTCCTTGATTTTGAGTGAGAAAGTGGATTGATCAGTGTCGATGATTTTAAAACAGGAATGTGAGAATTTGTTTTTACATGAAGTAGAGGCTTGAAGATGTTTGTAGATAGTGGAGTTTTTGTCTGTGTGAGTATGTTGCTTTATCCTGGTAGATAATTGGCGAGAAGTTTCACCAATATAGCGGGAATTACATCCCGCACATGAAAATTGATAAACTACCATAGATTTGGAAAGTTCGGGAAGTGGGTCTTTAAACGAAAATAACGATTTTATTTTAAAAGGTGTGAAAATAAGTTTAACGTCAATGTCAGTGCAGTAGCGCTTAATGATTTGTGTGAGTTTGCGTTGTGTGTGTCGTGAGTAATCACCTATGTAAGGTAGTTTGAAATAACGTTTATTGTCAGGTTGTTGTACATCGTTAGTGTTAGTTGTGGAGTTAGATGAGTCACTGCTTTTCTTGTTGTCCAAATAGTGTTGTATAGTGTTGTTGATGAAATGAAAAGGAAAAGAATTACGTTGGAGAGTGAATATTAGTTTCTTTAAATCACGTTGAAAGCCGATGTCTGTGTTGTTAAGTTTCCGTGCTCTGTCGGTCAGTGTTCGTATCAGTCCAATTTTGTAATTTAATGGTGTGAAACTAAAAAAGTTAGTCAGTAGTCCTGTATATGTTGGTTTGTGGTACGCAGAGGTCAAACAGTTTTCATGTGATTTAGTTAGTAAGATGTCAAGAAAGGGTAACTGATTGTCTTGTTCGGTTTCGTATGTAAAGTTTATGCTTTGATGTTGTTTGTTGATGTATTAAAAAAAGAGTAATGCTTCGTCTTTGTTATGAAAAATACAAAAAATGTCGTCAACGTATCTGTGGTAAAAATAAAGGTTTGTTGTTGCTGTAGTTATTTAACCAGTTTCGTTCGTGAAAACCCATGAAAATGTTGGCTAGAATGGGTGCCAAGGGTGAGCCCATACTTACCCCGTCAATTTGGTCGTAGTAATTACCGTTAAATAAAAAAATGAGTCTCGGCCGTACTGATGTTAAACAATAGTTTTAGTTCTGTTCTGTTCATTTTGAATGTAGGGTTGTTGGTAAAAATTAAATCAATAGCAATGTCTATGGTTTCGGTCAGTGGTATGTTGGTAAAAAGGCTTTTAACGTCAAAAGAAATAAAGAATTTGTCATGTGGAGCGTTAGTGTTAAAAGATAAAAAATCATCGACAAAACTAAAAGAATCTTTAGCAGAATGGTCATTAGTTATTAGGGGTTGGAGTAAAGAGCTGAGGTATTTGGTTAATTTGTAGTTATAAGAATTGATTGAAGAATTTATAGGTCTGATAGGAGGACCCTATTGGTCCCTATTTGAAGAAATCGTCTCAACGAAGGAAAGTAATAACCCTTACGAGCGGCTGTGCGTATAGTCCGGCAGATGGCGTCAAAAAAACTCACCATATCGCGGGGCAATTCCATTTTGCTTTAAAATTAAACAAAAAAATGAGTCTCGGCCGTGCTGATGTTAAACAATAGTTTTAGTTCTGTTCTGTTCATTTTGAATGTAGGGTTGTTGGTAAAAATTAAATCAATAGCAATGTCTATGGTTTCGGTCAGTGGTATGTTGGTAAAAAGGCTTTCAACGTCAAAAGAAATAAAGAATTTGTCATGTGGAGCGTTAGTGTTAAAAGATAAAAAATCATCGACAAAACTAAAAGAATCTTTAGCAGAATGGTCATTAGTTATTAGGGGTTGGAGTAAAGAGCTGAGGTATTTGGTTAATTTGTAGTTATAAGAATTGATTGAAGAATTTATAGGTCTGATAGGAGGACCCTATTGGTCCCTATTTGAAGAAATCGTCTCAACGAAGGAAAGTAATAACCCTTACGAGCGGCTGTGCGTATAGTCCGGCAGATGGCGTCAAAAAAACTCACCATATCGCGGGGCAATTCCATTTTGCTTTAAAATTAAACAAAAAAATGAGTCTCGGCCGTGCTGATGTTAAACAATAGTTTTAGTTCTGTTCTGTTCATTTTGAATGTAGGGTTGTTGGTAAAAATTAAATCAATAGCAATGTCTATGGTTTCGGTCAGTGGTATGTTGGCAAAAAGGCTTTCAATGTCAAAAGAAATAAAGAATTTGTCATGTGGAGCGTTAGTGTTAAAAGATAAAAATCATCGACAAAACTAAAAGAATCTTTAGCAGAATGGTCATTAGGTATTATGGGTTGGAGTAAAGAGCTGAGGTATTTGGTTAATTTGTAGTTATAAGAATTGATTGAAGAATTTATAGGTCTGATAGGAGGTCCCTATTGGTCCTTATTTGAAGAAATCGTCTCAACGAAGGAAAGTAATAACCCTTACGAGCGGCTGTGCATATAGTCCGGCAGATGGCGTCAAAAAACTCACCATATCGCGGGGCAATTCCATTTTGCTTTAAAATTGTCCGAGTACGGATATAGAACACAAATCCAGATGTTGGCCTTGGTAATTTTTCTTGTGAAATCAAGCCAACACGTTTTTTTGCGCTAACTAGATGACTTTTGTGTTATGATGAAAATTGAGTCGGAGAAGAAATAAGCCAGCGATATTTCGACCATCGCATATGTAATTTGGCGGTACTTCAAATAATTTCATTTGTTGTGTAGCATGCATAACATCAAAATTATTCTATCACACAATTTAATTTTTGAATTTTTGCGATTATGCTAGTAGTTCATTGTTTGCAAACTAATAATGATTTCAAATAGAGAATATATTCTTATTCCTCATAACTGTCAAATGAAGTGTATGTGTCAAGATCGGCAGCCAGTTGTTCACCAATGCAGTCAAAAATCTTCGAAATTGCAAGGATTCTTTTGTTCCCCTTCATTCCTATCTGAACAAACAGATTGCATGGTATTTGTGCTTTGTAATACACAGCTAAGATAGCAACATCGCTGTCAACAGTCGATACACAAATATTTGGATGTGGAATGAGCTGAGTTGCATGGTTGCAACAGAGAAACATTTTGGTATCTGCTTCTTCTTGGTTAGA